TATTTATTCTTTAAATGGTCAATACATAATAGATCACGTGAAAAATGCAAAAAACCGATAAATTGCCTTAAAAGTGCGATGCATGTGTGATGCGAAATTATAGTGCATAAATGCGAAATTATGATAAAATGATTCGCGCTATGCCCTACTGACGTCACACGTGTATCATAGGCGCAGTGAAATAATCTGGCGCTAAATAAATGATCAACGTCGTGTTTTTCTCGACTGTCGTAACTTATACTAATTGTCATGGAACAAGCTTCAGTATCGCCAGTATCTAACTATTTCCATGAGTTCGATCCTCTTAAGTGGTCGCTTATTGACTTTTTGAATTGGAGATTAGAAGCCTCGGATTTTTTAATCCAAGACAAAGAGCACGGTACGTTCAGATATTCTGTCGAGAAAATTGCAAATGGTTGGGAGGATGAAATTTGTGTGCAAAAGGCACAAGAGATACTCGATAATTGGACGGTGGGTATTTTTTATGTTTCATTAGCTCATTTGACGGGCCAGTAGCCTTGCTCTCGTAGCATCCGGATCCTTGAGTTCCGTACGATGAGCACAATTATCCTTGAGTTAATTGGGGCTTTTGGTAGGTCCTTGAGTCTATTGCTGTAACACATTAGTGTGTCCTTGAGTCACCTGGTGTTGGGCCTTGAGCTCGTTGCAGTCCGTCGTGTTGTATCATTGCACATGAAATAATTAAGTATTAATGATTGTCATGTTCTCGAGTTTCTAGAGCATTAAATGTTCTTCGGAAGTTACAAAGTTCTGGAATGATCGCAATATTCAAGATCTACGTGAAAAAATACAGCAAGTTCAGACTCATAATGAACTGAAATTATTTCAAATTGAATCTGAAGACGTAGGGATTTTTGACTGTTGCTATATGACACAAAATTTAAAGTTAATAGTACTTTCCTTTTTGCTAGTTAAATTATGCTCTTGACCGAAGTAAAAACTTTAATTTCAATGCACTTGAAAATAGAAGAAAGACTGTGTTGGAAAAGGTATCGGTAAGCATTTTTTGCTATAAAGATGTAAGAATCTATAAAATGTTATAAGGTAATTTTAATTCTTTCTTTTTGTATTTAGTCCGATGATGATTTCATGCCGGTCCGTATACCAAAGCGGAAAAAGCAGTTATCGTTATCTCTTTCGAAAAAGGTTAGAATGTTGATAAGGCCTTATATTGCATTGAATGTTATACCATCATTTTTTAATGATTTATTACATCTACAGAACAAAGAATCAGTTGGTTCAGTTTCATCTAAGAAGGTCAGTATAAAATACATCCCTATGATGATAAGGATTTGTTACCGTAAATTCTTCTCAAAATTTTCTATTATTTTTTGTGTGAACAGGCCAGAACCACGAAGGACATGTCGTCATCATCATCAGGAGTACCATCATCGCACAGTTCGTGTTCATCAACATCTGGTCCGTCTGCCAAACCTCATCGTAAAGAAAGTAATAAAATATTTATAGATATCGAAAAGCCTCATAAAATTCTCTACTCATGGAAAGACGCGATTGGTAATATTGATTTTAGAGAAGTTTCTAAAAAGGATGTGAGTACACGATGCGGTCAATGCTTCGTTGCATACCATATATTAACTAAAATGATTACGTGCTTTTTCAGTGGATTTTCGAAAACTACAACCTCTCCAATGAGTTTCGAAATTTCCAACAACTAACAATCAAACAGGTCGAGGAAAACCCGTATTTATGCTATAAAGAGGACATTAATAAAATACTGTAAGTATTGTATTCTATCTTATCATGGATTTCTGTAAATATTTCATATTATATTCATTATTCTCATGATCAATAGATGCTTGTCAAATATAATGCTGGTTGAACAAAAAAAACCATCGTATTTGACTTGCGATCAGGCGATTTGGAACACAATTTGTCGAAGACAAACATCTCCGGTTCTGTCATTAGTAATTATGAATGTAATTCAAGAATATTCTTCGGTAATATTTAATTTTCTTATTCACAGATTTAGTGTTGGATTGTAACACTACTAAGCAACTTCTTCCATTCTAGTTGTTAAATTGTTTCGCATCACTAGACGAAATTGAAGATAGCTGGTGTGCAAATTTCGCAAAAGTCACAGAGTTAAATAAAGAGGATAGGGCGAATTTTTGCAAATGCCAAATTATTTTACGAAACTTGTAACTATCACGTTTGTAAAGTTAACATAATTAATTTGACACTAATATCTTTATAGTTTCCTGCTAGGTTCTATTAATAAAGATAACGAAGATACTTTTGTACACAGCACTTTACATGACTTAATAAATGAGGTGTTTCGTGACCCATTGTTGGAATTAGTATGGTATGTTTATAAGCATTTAGACATGTAATCTTTGTTTTATTATATATCTTTTATGTATCTTTTGATGTTTGATTTAAAAGGGCAAATAGCGAGAGTACTGCATCGAAAAGGCAACGTTCCAATGATAAGGAAAACACAGTCAAAGGTAACAAACCCGATTTTAAGATTCTGAACAATGCTAGAGATGAAATTCTCTTTGGTGAAGTAAAACCAAAGGACTCATCATCTGTATTGGTGAAAAAAGATTTCATCAAACTCGGCGACTTCCAAGTGGTTACTTTGAACGAAATAATCAAGAAATACGGAAATAAGAATGGCTTGATTTCTTTTGGCATATGGGTTACTGGTAAGTGTGCAAAATTTAGTTTGACTTTTTAATAATTAATTAATATTTGATTGCACTTATAGGTGCGCGTATTCGTTTTTACGAAATGGATTTGAATTATGACGGTATATATAGGATGATCTTAGTTGCAAATGTAGTTATCCCGACGGAACGGGCACAATTCTTAAACTTGGTGACAGTTTTAGAAGCATTTTTTAATATCAAAGTAAGTGGTTAATAGTAATAAGGAAAGTACTATTAACTTTAAATTTTGTGTCATATAGCAACAGTCAAAAATCCCT